CTCCAGAGCGTTGCTCTGGAGACGAGAGCGCCGTTTTCCCCCCCCTTCCTCCATTCCAGTCCATCACAATATTACTTGTACTGTTATTTTCATTATTGGTGCTGCTTTAAATTGTTGTTAGCTGCCCAGAGTCATATGTTGAGGTAGATGGCCATAAATAAAATTCTGCTGAAAGATCTGCCCTGGCTACCGATTATCTACTAGGTATAATTTAATCTTTAAAGCTCTACACATCTTAAGGCATAATTATCTGCAGGATCACCTCTCCTGCTGTGAACCTGCCAGGTTATTTAGATTAGCTGGCAAAACTCATCTGAAGATGCTCCTGCTACTAGAAGGTGAGCTTTTGGGTATATGGAAAAGGATGTTCTCCTACGTGGCTAGCAGGCTATCGAACATGCTCCATAGGAAGCCCGTTAAGAAAGGTGTGTTTGGCTTTCATTCACAGAGTAGAGTGAAACCTCAGTGCAATGGACTGCAATGTAATGATGAAATTATGCAAATGATAATATTAGCAAATGATCCAGTTTTTGCTATTTGCATCAGTTTATGCCATTTCCATAATGATGTCATTCAGAAGGGAGTTTGTGTCATTTGCATTGCCATGATACTTTTCAATTTACCAAACTTTGGGGAATAATGGACACCCCCTTCCTCAATTATTCTGTAAAAATGAGGTTTCAATCTCTTTTGCCAAGCTTTTAATTGCTAATTATATTGATGATTGGTTTCAATGTTGGTTTTAACTGCATCCGTTTTATTGTATTTTATGTTTGTATGATTTTATTGTTGTAAGCCACTTTGAGCAGTGGAATAAAGAGAAAGGTAGGGCATAAAATCAATAATAAATATAATAAATATATTTTCCCCTAGCTTGCATCATAAGCTGGAAAGAGCAGAAGAGACCTCCACCTCCACTACCCCCATCCAAAAACCTTCCCCAAATCTCATGGTAGTTAAGCCCCCTTCCTTGAGTTTTCCTGGTAAAGAAATAAACTTTAGGAATACATTCCTCAACTTCCTGCTGCCTTCCTCCAACCCAGAAACTCACAGACCCTAATAAGCATTGATGGGGTTCCTAGTCATATATCTCACTGCCATATGTCAGCCCCATCAGATGAACCAGACCAGGAAATCAATTCCACAGAAAGGCTAAAACGACTTCTACTGAGATTGGCTACAGGTAGTCCTCACTTAACAATGGTAACTGGGACTGGAATTTCCATCACTAAGCAATGTGGTTGTAAAGTGCAACATCATGTGACCACATCGCTAACTGATGGCAATCCAGGCAGTCCCATTGCTGTCATTAAGCAAGGATCTCAGGTTGTTAAGTGAGGATCTCCTTGAGATTTTCTCCCGGCTTCTAACAAGAAAAATCAGTGGGGCAGCAGTCCCCGGAAGTCCCAGTTGGTTCGCAAGCAGACAGGGAGGCGGGTAAGTGGCTGCTGTGGCATGGCGCGAGCATGGCTGAGCTGCAGGCATCTGCTGTTGGGTGTGCAGGTGGCTGCTGTGGCACCATGCAAGTGCAGCCAGGCTGGGGGTGGCTGCTACTGGGGGTGGCTGCTGCAGGGTGTAGGAGGCTGCACAGGTGGTACAGTCAAGCGGGCACAAGAGTGCAGCCGGGGGGGCTACTATGGGTGGATGCGTGCTAGGGAGTACGAGATCCCTGGGATCTCATACTCCATAGCTGGGCTCTTTGGGATAAAAAGCAGTGGGAGTTGGAACGACTTACAGGAGCAACTTGCAACCTTCCCTGCCGGCTTCCCCGTTGATTATGCTTGTGGGAAGCCGGCAGAGAAGATCGCAAATGGCAATCACATGACCATGGGATGCTGCAACCATCTTAAGTGCGAGCCAGTTGCCAAGCGCCCAGGTCGTAATCATGTGACCATGGGGGTATTGGGATGGCCGGAACTTTGAGGACCAGTCGTAAGTACCACTTGTTCAGTCCTTTGAATGGTCGCTGAACAAGTGGTCATTAACTGAGAATTACCTGTGTAATAATAGAATCTTGCATGTCTGATGGTGGTGTACCTCTTCCTCCTTCCTCTACTCCAGTGATTTAGGGAAGACATTTTAGCCTTTGATTTCCTGGTCTGGCCCATCTAGTGGAGCTGACAATTCCAGATTCAATCCATATTAGGGAAGATCACAAGTTCTAAACAAGACTGAACTTTCAATGCCCAAATCCAAGACAAGACAGTCAACATAATATATTCTAATGCAGTTTTTCTGTTATGTCTGAATTGTCTGCTAGGCCCTACCCAGTTTGGAGCTGTCCTTTTTTATGTTGCCTGCTAGCCTCTTCCAATGAATAATTATTTTTCATTTCTTTCCAGTGGTAAAAGAAGTTATAAACATGCTTCCTCCTAAACCCTACCACCACGTTCTCTTTGCACACAACAGCAGTCAGAGTTCCAGGTGTATCAGTTGTGCAGTAGTAGGAAATGGAGGGATATTGAATAATTCCAGAATGGGCAAGGAAATCGACTCTCATGATTACGTGTTCCGGTAAGAGGAACTGTCGTTTTTACACTAGCCTTTCACTCCTTAAAGCTCGCAGCTTCTCACCCAGAACAAGTCCTGGTTCCATTGCCTTTGGGAAAATAGCCCTCAGAAGCCACATGAAGCTGACGAGGGGGCTCAAGCCAACAAAAGTCACACAGTCCTGCAGGAAGGCTTGGCCAGCCCTGCTTATCCAAGAACAAACCAAGGTTACCAATGATGGTTAATGATGCCTAACCTCACTACAGGGTAATAACGGATCATAATAACCACCCAGAGGTCATTAAGAGTTGGGTAGCATACAAGTTTAAATAATAATAATAATAATATAATAATAATAATAATAATAATAATTATTATTATTATTATTATTATTATTTAGCTTAGCATATCA